AGTGATTCAGGACAATATTGTGCTGATATCTCGGGCCCTACGCCATCAGTTTGTTATCCCAGAGTGGCATGATTTTACTTCATATATAGAAGAGTTCTACTGGTCTGTCAAAAGTCTCACATCTGGGAAGGTTAGTTACTTGTATTCTTTCACCTCTCCATGTATGAATACATGTATATTCATTTCCTTAGTGAAATGAAATGTTTCAGATCAAGGAGTGTTCATTTTTCATCCTTTTACTTTTGCCATTGAAGGTTCTTCTTTTAAAGCTGACTTCATTATAAAAAAAATAAGACCTGAGATGTGTTATAACAAACATTTGATGGGAATTTACCATTACTAACACTTACGCTGTACTGTATTATGAAGATCAACAATTTATTCTCTGTAGAATATGTTTTTATGACCACAATAGGCTATGATCATTTTGTGTGTTAAAAATGCAAGGCAGCCACTGTAGAATGTGATATGAAAAAGAATTTGTGAGGAATCATATGCTAGATTGCTTATAAAACACTTAGTTTGAGATAATGATAAACAGTGTGGCAGACATGACTGTAATGTGAATGACATTAGAAAGAAAGTGCATATAATTCTGTTGTGAAAATACTAGCCAGCTGCAGCAGTCAACCTTGGATCATATAATCATGAAACATGGCAGCATATCTCACTCCATCAGAGGATTTATGGTCATTAACATACATAACAATAATACTGGAGTGTGATTGGAAATTATAAAACAAAGTGATAAGGGAGTACCAATCCAGATCAGAGAAGGAAAACTCCAGGAATGGGGTGGAGGAGCAGATTTGGTTCACAGAGACATCCCAAGGAAAGAGGAAGAGGTAAGAAATAGGTAGCATAGAAAGCCAAGGTAGAAAAAGAGACACCATAGTGTTTAGAGGAGTAGGCTCTGTTCTAGGTTTGCCAGTATAATTGCCTGGCCCGGGCCTTTTCAGAGAGGTGGCCCAGCCTTGACTCCCTTTCGCAGGAGTGTCTCAGACCAATGTCTGCCATGGGAGGAGGTACAAGTACCTCCTCGTCTTCTGGGACCAACTGTCCCAAGGCCTAGCCCCATTCTCTGTCCCCATGGGGCTTGGAGGGAGAAGCTAGGCACTTTGGGCTGCTACAAACCCTGCCCACACTGTGCTCGAAGGGTGTGGCAGCTGCATAGCAGCAGATGATGTCAAGAGGTGCAAAGGCAGCAAGCACTACAGGAACCTTTTAGAGCCACACCCCAGCTTTGGGCCAAGCCTGAGCACTGGAGAAGCTCAAAAATGCCTTTTGCTGTGAGTGTTGCTTCTGCTACTTCACTTGTCCATTGCACTCTCCTCTGAGGAGTAGATTGAAAAGACATAATAAAGAGGAGTAATGGGTAAATCATTTGAAGGCATAGATTGAAAAGACATAATAAGGTGGGGCAGTGATTAAATTACAGTGGTACCTCGAGTTACGAACTTAATTCGTTCCAGAGACTGTTCGAGTGCCAATACTGAATGAATTTGTTCACAGACACGCACATGCATATATATATATACATACATCTAGGTTTTTCTCCTTTTTCTAAATAGCTCTTGTTCTTTTTTATTTCTTCTATTGTCCATGGGGAAGTGGAAAAGAATCTTTCCTCCGTAAGCCATGCGTGTCGTATGAGGCGACTAAAATGCCGGGAGCAATGGGCTAGTAACCCCTTCTCCTGTATACAATTACTAAAAAAGAGAAGAAGAAAAACTTTATAAAACTGGGTTGCTTAAATGTGCGTGGATGTAGTGCGGATGACAAGAAACAGATGATTGCTGATGTTATGAATGAAAAGAAGTTGGATGTCCTGGCCCTAAGCGAAACAAAGCTGAAGGGGGTAGGAGAGTTTCAGTGGGGGGAAATAAATGGGATTAAATCTGGAGTATCTGAGAGAGTTAGAGCAAAGGAAGGGGTAGCAGTAATGTTAAATGATCAGTTATGGAAGGAGAAAAGAGAATATGAATGTGTAAATTCAAGAATTATGTGGATTAAAGTAAAGGTTGGATGCGAGAAGTGGGTCATAATAAGCGTGTATGCACCTGGAGAAGAGAGGAATGAAGAGGAGAGAGAGAGATTTTGGGAGATGTTAAGTGAATGTATAGGAGCCTTTGAACCAAGTGAGAGAGTAATTGTGGTAGGGGACTTGAATGCTAAAGTAGGAGAAACTTTTAGGAGGGTGTGGTAGGTAAGTTTGGGGTGCCAGGTGTAAATGATAATGGGAGCCCTTTGATTGAACTTTGTATAGAAAGGGGTTTAGTTATAGGTAATACATATTTTAAGAAAAAGAAGGATAAATAAGTATACACGATATGATGTAGGGCGAAATGACAGTAGTTTGTTGGATTATGTATTGGTAGATAAAAGACTGTTGAGTAGACTTCAGGATGTACATGTTTATAGAGGGGCCACAGATATATCAGATCACTTTCTAGTTTTTAGCTACACTGAGAGTAAAAGGTAGATGGGATACAAGGAGAATAGAAGCATCAGGAAGAGAGAGGTGAAGGTTTATAAACTAAAAGAGGAGGCAGTTAGGGTAAGATATAAACAGCTTTTGGAGGATAGATGGGCTAATGAGAGCATAGGCAATGGGGTCGAAGAGGTATGGGGTGGGTTTTTAAAAATGTAGTGTTAGAGTGTTCAGCAGAAGTTTGTGGTTACAGGAAAGTGGGTGCAGGAGGGAAGAGGAGCGATTGGTGGAATGTTGATGTAAAGAGAGTAGTAAGGGAGAAAAAGTTAGCATATGAGAAGTTTTTACAAAGTAGAAGTGATGCAAGGAGGGAAGAATATATGGAGAAAAAGAGAAAAGGTTAAGAGAGTGGTGAAGCAATGTAAAAAGAGAGCAAATGAGAGAGTGGGTGAGATGTTATCAACAAATTTTGTTGAAAAATAAGAAAAAGTTTTGGAGTGAGATTAACAAGTTAAGAAAGCTTAGAGAACAAATGGATTTGTCAGTTAAAAATAGGAGAGGAGAGTTATTAAATGGAGAGTTAGAGGTATTTGGGAAGATGGAAGGAATATTTTGAGGAATTGTTAAATGTTGATGAAGATAGGGAAGCTGTGATTTCGTGTATAGGGCAAGGAGGAATAACATCTTGTAGGAGTGAGGAAGAGCCAGTTGTGAGTGTGGGGAAGTTCGTGAGGCAGTAGGTAAAATGAAAGGGGGTAAGGCAGCCGGATTGATGGGATAAAGATAGAAATGTTAAAAGCAGGTGGGGATATAAGTTTTGGAGTGGTTGGTGCAATTGTTTAATAAATGTATGGAAGAGGGTAAGGTACCTAGGGATTGGCAGAGAGCATGCATTATTCCTTTGTATAAAGGCAAAGGGGTAAAAGAGAGTGCAAAAATTATAGGGGGGTAAGTCTATTGAGTGTACCTGGTAAAATGTATGGTAGAGTTATAATTGAAAGAATTAAGAGTAAGACGGAGAATAGGATAGCAGATGAACAAGGAGGCTTTAGGAAAGGTAGGGGTGTGTGGGACCAGGTGTTTACAGTGAAACATATAAGTGAACAGTATTTAGATAAGGCTAAAGAGGTCTTTGTGGCATTTATGGATTTGGAAAAGGCGTATGACAGGGTGGATAGGGGGGCAATTGTGGCAGATGTTGCAAGTGTATGGTGTAGGAGGTAGGTTACTGAAAGCAGTGAAGAGTTTTTACGAGGATAGTGAGGCTCAAGTTAGAGTATGTAGGAAAGAGGGAAATTTTTCCCAGTAAAAGTAGGCCTTAGACAAGGATGTGTGATGTCACCGTGGTTGTTTAATTTATATTTATAGATGGGGTTGTAAGAGAAGTAAATGCGAGGGGTCTTGGCAAGAGGCGTGGAGTTAAAAGATAAAGAATCACACACAAAGTGGGAGTTGTCACAGCTGCTCTTTGCTGATGACACTGTGCTCTTGGGAGATTCTGAAGAGAAGTTGCAGAGATTGGTGGATGAATTTGGTAGGGTGTGCAAAAGAAGAAAATTAAAGGTGAATACAGGAAAGAGTAAGGTTATGAGGATAACAAAAAGATTAGGTGATGAAAGATTGAATATCAGATTGGAGGGAGAGAGTATGGAGGAGGGTGAACGTATTCAGATATTTGGGAGTGGACGTGTCAGCGGATGGGTCTATGAAAGATGAGGTGAATCATAGAATTGATGAGGGAAAAAGAGTGAGTGGTGCACTTAGGAGTCTGTGGAGACAAAGAACTTTGTCCTTGGAGGCAAAGAGGGGAATGTATGAGAGTATAGTTTTACCAACGCTCTTTTTATGGGTGTGAAGCGTGGGTGGTGAATGTTTGCAGCGAGGAGAAGGCTGGAGGCAGTGGAGATGTCATGTCTGAGGGCAATGTGTGGTGTGAATATAATGCAGAGAATTCGTAGTTTGGAAGTTAGGAGGAGGTGCGGGATTACCAAAACTGTTGTCCAGAGGGCTGAGGAAGGGTTGTTGAGGTGGTTCGGACATGTAGAGAGAATGGAGCGAAACAGAATGACTTCAAGAGTGTATCAGTCTGTAGTGGAAGGAAGGCGGGGTAGGGGTCGGCCTAGGAAGGGTTGGAGGGAGGGGGTAAAGGAGGTTTTGTGTGCGAGGGGCTTGGACTTCCAGCAGGCATGCTTGAGCGTGTTTGATAGGAGTGAATGGAGACAAATGGTTTTTAATACTTGACGTGCTGTTGGAGTGTGAGCAAAGTAACATTTATGAAGGGATTCAGGGAAACCGGCAGGCCGGACTTGAGTCCTGGAGATGGGAAGTACAGTGCCTGCACTCTGAAGGAGGGGTGTTAATGTTGCAGTTTAAAAACTGTAGTGTAAAGCACCCTTCTGGCAAGACAGTGATGGAGTGAATGATGGTGAAAGTTTTTCTTTTTCGGGCCACCCTGCCTTGGTGGGAATCGGCCGGTGTGATAATAAAAAAAAAAAAAAAAAAAAAAAAAGAAGTAACGTAAATTAGATTAGTCCATTTCAGACCCCCAAAAATACACTTACAAAAGCACTTACAAAAATACACTTACATAATTGTTTGAGTTGGGAGCTGTTTGAAACTCGAGGTACCACTGTATTTGCTTTACTAATGTCAGTGAAAATTATATAAGTCATATGATCATTATCTTGTTCATTTTTATAAGCAAGATACATGTAATGGATACAGTGGGTAACATAATGAAGGGATGTTAGGCTCTCCATACAGAATTTCAACCAGGTACAATCAAGAGGCTCTCAAATACAAATAAAGTCCTGGAAGATGAATAACCTTGAGCCCAGAAAGAGTAGCTGTGGAAATAGAGAATTTAATTATAAATTTTGAAAGGTTCATATTTTGAAGAGGCTGAAGATAATAAATAATAAAATTATATTATTGTTTCTTCTAGTGTTGTAGTTGGTAATATATGATAAGAAATATTCGTATGCTATGTATTGTAAGTATATATGTTTTAGAATATGTGATAAAATACATTACTCTAATTGCAAGTTAATATGATGGTCAGTTGATAAGTTATAACAAGAAGGAAAAGAATTACTTTTTTGGATAATAGTTATACAGGGTAGTAGTGTTAGGGTACTATTTTATTCATCAGGAAAAATGGGAAAAATTCTCCTAATGATGGTTATAGTTATATTATGACCAACACACAGTGGAGCTTTTGTGTCATTTGACTGAAACATTCTAGTTTCTTGTCAGTTCACTTTAAAAAATTAGGTGAAATTACATAGCATTCTTCAAGAATTGTTATATGTTATTGCAGTGTGCTACTTTTATTCTAAGTGTAGCTCAATCAGATTAAATACCATTGGGTTTTGAAAGTAGCTGGATGTTTGAGCACAGTTGTGTAATTACTCTCTCATTATTAACAGACTGAATGACACTCATGAGTTAGGCTTTTTTATATGTAATATAAAAAAAAAATAGTGTGATTTTTTTCTTAAGAATTTTTTCTTGGTAATCCTAATTTAGTTGTGAATACTTCTCACTGATGAGAAAGAATATATTATAGATTTTAAGAATTTAATTTTTCTCTTCAGGAAATTATTATATTGAAATCTTTTCATTCTACATTTGTGCAAGATTATATTCCTTCCTTTTCTACTTTGGCTTCAACTTTTTTTGTTAATGTTTTTTCTAATTTGATGTAATTCTGCTTACATTTAATATTACTATGAATTGATAGGCTTGTATATTGTGCTTTTCTACAGTATTTAGGAAAGAGACATCCAACATTTGTATACATCCTTGCTTAGAAAATAAAATATTTATTTGTTTTTCATTATAGTATTTATTTATTTATCTGTATATTGCTTTTATATTCCTAACATATTAACATAATTTATTTTGAGACATATGGCATTTGCTTCTTTCTTACTAATGTAAACTGTTTTATTTTCCATTTCCCATGGTCACAGTGCCTACCTGATCAAACTCTTATACAATACTGTACTTCAACATACATAGTACCAATAATGCAATAGCATTACAATATATAATGTGCAGAATGTTAGTATAAAATTCAGAGTTGGCACATAAGAAGCTTAATAACTATTTACAGTATGAGTAAGGAATTTAAAAAATATGTCATAAAAATACACTTATCACAGATCAGCAATATACTATTTACTGAAACAAAGTTATGATGACCCAATAAGTACCTAAGAAAGATATTGATAAGGATATATGCTGTGGTATACTAATGTCTTATTCAACAAGCTATGAACACACATAGTTCCTTGATAAAATTTTGATTACATTAACAACCTTACTTTTTTACATTGTTTGTGCTGCAAAGATTTACACTCTTGGCAAGGTAAGAGACTCAAGACAACTAGTCATTCCCAGCACTGCTTGGCTTTTGTGTCACCTCTTTTTAAATGTCAAGAGGCATCCTTATTATTGGTTAACGTATCAGTTTGCAGTTTCATAGACTATTACTCATGGGGTAAATAAATGAATGTGGTGATGTGTCTGGAAGATGTCGGTAAAACCTCTTGTAATTGAAATGTTTGTTTTGCGTATGTTTACTTGTAAGTCACAAAAGGTGTACAGTAGTTGCTTTAGCCAGCTGAGTAATAAAATCATAATGTTTGTTCGTTTTCATCAGTTGACTGAAGTTGATTATTCTGTTATTTAATTGACTTTACAAAACTTGTAATATTTCGTGATCAGTAGAATAACACAAAGCTGTCCAAATATTTTTCTGATATATGATACTCGGTAAAATCTGATGCAAATAAGTTTTGGGCTCTCCCTCACAAAATCAAATTTGAAGTTACCTTCTCTTTGCCACTGAATGAGGCACTGCATCCATCTGAATCAGAATGATCTATGGATCTCAGTTCATTGGTGGGGCATTTGTGTCCACTGTGGCAAGTTCTTTATATGCGATCATTTATGGGGCATTGCTTGTTCTTGCCTGTTGTTGTACAGCACTTGAAATGATATTCAGAGTTGTTCTGACCTGGCAGGACATCATTGCTGCTGACTCCTGCAACCAGATGTGGGCTTTGTTACAGGTCAAGTACAGGTGCTCCTCAACTTATGATGGGGTTAGGTTCCAATGAACTCATCATAAGTTGAAAATTAATTAAATCGAATGTGATAAATAAATAAATAAATAAATACTTTCATTGAATAAACAAATAATTACTCTAGCTAACTAAATACCAGTATTGAAAAGTAAATAAATGAATACAAGTTTATCCTATTAATAAATGTACAGTACTGTACAGTAAAATAAAAGTTTTGCAGTTTTATTACACTGTCACAGAATCAAAATATCGTAAGTGGAACCATCATAAAGTGAGGAGTGTCTGTATAGAGACTCCTCCATCTCACTGGTTTGACGAGCTTATCAACACTGGTTGAATAACTCTTCATACTGGGTGAGCTGTGATTATGGTGATCAGTCTCCATGAATTTCCACCCTGTATGAAAGCCTTGGTTAATAAGCATGTAACACAGCCAGAGTTTGGTATCATCAGTCACATTTATGGTATGGGTCACTATGCTTCATTCCCTGGCCAGGTGTTTCAGGTGTCATGCAACACCTGCCCAACATGTTGTACCACATATCCCCCCCCCCCATTAAGTTGACAGGTCAACAATAGTATACTTCTTGTCAACTGATAAACTTTGAGGAGACATGAATAAGGTACACTGTGATAACTGATAATATGCAGTTTTCGGATCTGCCTGGCTTTCTTTTTCTCTGCTGTGCTCAGAGCTATCATCCATCAGCTGTGAATTCACCCACATGTGTGGCCCCTTTTGTGGGGCTCATGACAGATTTAGTGGGCCTGAGCCCACTTCAGCTTCAGATGACATTAATTCCTGTGTGACAACTGACCACTTTCATTCAGCTTTATTATGTATTGCCAGAACCTCTCAGTCTAAATAACCACAGATGTCATATTCCACTACTTTGTGGTAGGGTTTTGTATCCTTACATTATTTCCCACCTGGAGAGTGGGCATGCATTGTACACCATAATCATACTTTGACCATCACTGCAGCCTCAGCCATTGTCACCCTCTGTGATGCATCCTCCTCCTCCAGTGCTGGCCCATCCTTTGGTACTGCCTGGCCATGGGAACAATCACATAACTGTCTCCCAGTAGCCAACTGCATGAGTGGCTTTTCTGTGTCTTGCAGGAGTGTGTTGAGGTACTGCAGGCATGCCATGGAGATTGTGCCAGTCAGTAGGCTTCCTTCCCTCCCAGTATTATCGTGGATTATCCTCCTGGCCACATGAGATGTAGCCTCTGCCTGCCCATTAGAGTGAGGGTAGTGGTGACACTTCACTGCTTGAAGAACTCTTGCATTTCAGTACTAGAGAGGTTGCTGCCCTCATCTGTAAAGACTTTCTTGGGAGACCTCACTTGATGGAGTAGCCCCTCAGCTTGGGAATGGAGAGGTTGATGAGACACCAGTGGGCAGATGACAACTCCACTTGGCCTGTCAGCTTATCTTTGCCACCCATAAACACCTGCCACTGCCTATTAGAATGGGTATTCCATGGGTCATATTGAAAGCAGTGGTTCCTGGTGCTGGAAGTGAGTGTACATTTCACTTGTATCACACAATTATCAATGGTACTGCAGATCACCTTTGAATTCCAGCTTGAACACTACTTGCCAGGTTCAGTGTAGCATAGACTTCTTCATGGTAGCCTGCATGTAGGTTGGCTGCTAGCTAGTGCCATGGTGACTCTGGGATTACCAGGGGTACATCCACCTGTAGAAAGGCTTGAGGCAGGGCAGCTATTGCACCTGATCATTGGGCCACTCCCCTGCCCTGATTGTGTTCGTTAGCAGTTGATATTCAGGGTCAGACACTGATGCAGGGCCACTATGTTCTGGTCCAACACTACTCTGCTCTCCACTGCTAGAGCCACCATAGTGACAACTTCTAGTGCATCATCTTGCACATTGATCTCACTGTCTAGGGGAGCTTTCAGCACAAGATAATGGGATAGGGTGTTTGCTGCACAGCAGTTTATCCAAGATATTTAACATGGAAGTGGTACTGCAGTGTCTTCTCCATCAAGTGCAGTACCTTGTGATTTGCAGTATCATTTAATGCCTTGTCCCAAAACAACTTGAACAAGTGGTGATGGTTGATCAGTAAGATGAGGTTTGGCCATCCAAGCAGAAATAGGCAGGCCTTTCTTTAGTGAAACACTACTACTACTAGAGTTTTTTTTCATCTGAATCATAACCTGCCTCAGCTGACTTTAGATGGAGATCTGTTACTTCATTTTTTCCTTCTGACAGATGGTGTTTTTGGAATATGTACTTCTGTTACAGCTGCTAAGCCCAGTACACTTGCTGTCCCATAGACTTCTTCAGCAGATCCCTGAAAGGTTGCATGACAAGTGTTATGGCCATGAATGGTGCAGGCTAGTTGACCAGCCCATGTCATCATGACTGTCCATGATGGTGGGTTGGCTCAGCATTGGAATGTCCTTGATGACAGCCAACCTGTTTGAGACTGAATCCTTCCCATCCTATGTGGAAACCTACAAATTCCACCTTTCTGATAGAACTTGAACTTCTCAGACTGTGGTGTTTTCCATTCTTGCTGCACGGTTCAAGGAAGTCATGTGTGCCAGAATGACTTCTAAACACTGGCATCGTAGAGCAAGGCAGGTGTCGGCAACACAGCTGTGCTTTTTGGTGATTCTTTTTATTACAGCATTGAACCTCTTCGTGTATGCATCTGAGGCAGCACAATGTTCCATGAGAGTTGTCAAATGCTATCCTGGCTCATCTAAATCCATCTGGTGAAACTAAATATACATTGGCTACTGGTTTATATGTGTGAAGGGAGATATTAGATACCATGTCAGATGGTGCATGTGGTGGGTTTTCCACTTTCAACGGATGTGAAGGTACTGAAAATGTATGATGTCCCATGGCTGACCATTCTTCTTAGGGACCCTCATCCTTTCACAACATTACAACATTCATTGGCCTCACTTGTCGATAAAGCTCGTCGTGTGTTGTTGTCCAGCTGCTGACTTTCATGTCCCCTTGCTTGAGTGCTTGTATACTGAGGCTGGTGTGTGATATGCTTGTGGATTAACATTGGGTGCCAGGTGAATGTGATGGGATTTTCCTTTCATCACCAATAATGGGTCTCTGAAGGTTGAGAAGTTCCATCTAAGCTATTCATGCGGCCGAGGCACATTCTCCTTGATGAATTCACGCTAGCTTTTCTAGCTGTATTGGCAGAGGAGGGGAGGGGGAAGTTAGGAGAGGGAGGGCACCTGCTCCCTCAGAAGCAGTCACTGAGATTGTGTGGTAGGAAAAATTCTGCTTTACAAGACCCAAGCCTTTGCAGGCATTCCACTTCAGTACCCATGTCTGCCACTTCCATTATTTGATGATGGGATGACTCACTGTGGAGACCCACATCTACCATTAGGCATGCTAAACAATGGCAGCTCCAATTTCACTGTCCTTCACCATGCTTCCCAGTCATACCACATTGAATACTGTTTTCAGTGTGTGTGGGTGAGTCCTCTTCCTGCAGCACCTTGCTGTATGACCTTAAGTGCCACAGGTATAGTATTGCATGGTTTTTGCCTTATTCATGCATCTTGCAACAGTTACCACATAGTGATTTCTCACCTGGTGTGTGCAACCCTTGGCAGCTGCTCCCACCCTCATTTTTCTTTGTAACATAGGCCACTGGATCTCCTCGTCTGAGAGGGTGGCACCTGCCACCGAAAGCCTACCTCTGTTCACGTCACTTTTAGCAGACTCATATTATGATATTTTTTAATCATATTTTCCTGCATTTTTTTTTTTTTTTTTTCATAATTTGTAAAGATTGCTTGTCTGAAAGTAGGATTGTTCAACCTCACCATGATTTTATGCACCTTCATATACAGTATTCTGAAATATTGTTACAAGATGGGAACCTAAATTCACAATCTAATGCACTCTATTGGCATCTTGTAATGAATGTTCATATTACTTCACCACACTCTTGTGTTTGTTTGAAGAATTTGTCCCATATGCTAACAGTATTTGAAGCATTGTGCACCATACCTCCTATGGTGTCCAGAGCTTTTTCCACCTGTAACACTTTACACTTGCATCCTGGGAATTTTGAGGTGATGACTCTCTGAAGACTGGTGACAATGTAGGCAAATGCTTATTATTGCCTAAAACAGTAACCATTCATCTAACTTCATCCAATCCAACACGAAGCTTTTCCAGATTAGGAAACTGGGTTTCAACATCTTGAAATTTCCCTTTTCAGGGATAGAGGCCAGGTGCTCTGGAGAATACCTCACTGGTG